ACAAGAGCAAAACTCTGTCTCAAAAAAAAAAAAAAGAAAGAATAGTTGTTACCCTTGTTGGTGAGGTGATTCTGGGTTTTGTGTGTGGTGAGACGCATGTCTGGGCTCTTCTGGTAATGATCTGGTTTTTGACCTGGGCTCAGATATGCTCACTTTTTAAAAATTTGTTGAGCTGTGTACTACGGATCTGGGTACTTGTCTGTATGACTTCAATAAAAAGTTTTAAAACATCAAAAAAAAAAAAAGTGTAAAAAGTCCTTAAATAGTTTTCTGTTGTACTTAGGATAAAAATTCAAATGACTCCACAGTGGCTTTCAGGGGTGTTCCAGGCCTAGCCTCTGCCCTCCTCAGACCTCATTTCATGGCACCTCACCTATGCCGGCCACCTGTCTGATCCTTAGAAGTGTGGAGCCTATTCCCACCTTAGGCTTTCGACCTGCCAGTTCCCTGCCTGCAACACTCGCACCTTCTTCTTGTCATTTGGGGCTCAGTTCAGACATCACTGCATAGAGCCTTCCTGAAGATCCTGTAAAACGTGGCTTCCACTTTGCCTAGGAGCTCTTCATGCCAGCAGTTTTGTTTTATTTTATTTTATTTTATTTTATTTGAGACAGAGTTTCAATCTTGTTGCCCAGGCTGGAGTGCAATGGTACAATCTTGGTTCACTGCAACTTCCACCTCCTGGGTTCAAGTGATTCTCCTGCCTCAGCCTCCCGAGTAGCTGGGATTACAGGCACCCAACACCAACCCCAGCTAATTTTTGTATTTTTAGTAGAGACAGGGTTTCACCATGTTGGCCAGGCTGGTCTTGAACTCCTGACCTCAGGTGTTTCACCGGCCTCAGGTGATTCACCAGCCTCAAGCTCCCAAAGTGCTGGGATTACAGGCATGAGCCACCGTGCCAGTGCTTCCTAAGAGCGATCATGGCACAGAGTGGGGAGGAAGGCAGCTGTGAATGAGTATGTGGGGAGCACAGCCTCGGGATCTCCACTGAAGCAAGCCGGTTAAAGGGGGCAGAGGAGTGTGAGGAGACAGGGATGGTTGAGGTTGGAGAGGGAGCACCCCGTGACACTGGCTAAGTGTGTAAGCCTGAGAGGAGTGTGACTGTCAGAGAAGGCTGAGTTTCGAGTGATGGAGTAGAGTCCAGCAGCCAAGAATCCAGGCAGGAGGGAGAAGAAAAGACTCCAGAGAGTAAGAGGGGATTGTTGGTTAAAGGATAGGTATCCTCTTTTAGCAAACAGAGATATGACCAGCAAAAGAGGCCAAGGTGAGCTCTCCCCTGGAGAATGTCATTGGCCAACCGTCCTAAGAAGTGGGGAACTGTGCTGGGTAGATCACTTGTCTTTATCACATGAAGATATTAAACCAGGTTGACCATCCCAAAGTTTCCCTAGACGGGTAGAAACTTGGAAGATGGGGGTTAGTAAGTTGGAGAAATCTATGTCTCCTTTTCCCCCACTTCTGACAGATCTTAGTCTTGGCCAGGCATGGTGGCTCACACCTATAATTCTAGCACTTTGGGAGGCTGAGGCAGGAGGATCACTTGAAGCCAGGAGTTTGAGACCAGACTGGGTAACAGGGATACTCCGTCTCTACAAAAAATTTAAAAGTTAGCTGGGTGTGGTGTTCCCCACCTGTGGTTCCAGCTACTTGGGAGGCTGAGGTAGGAGAACTGCTTGGGCCCAGGAGGTTGAGGCTGCAGTGAGCCATGTTTGCACCACCACACTCCAGCCTGGGCAACAGAAAGAGACCCTGTCTCAAACAAACAAACAAACAAACAACAACAAAAAAAAAACCCAACACCCCTGCCCCCTCGAAAAAAAAAGTTTCCCATCTCCTGGAAGATGACTTGGGGGCATCCTCTCTGCCATTCTGACCTAAGTTCTGAGTTTATCCTTAGCACTCGGCACAGATTGGGCCTCCAGAAATATGGGGTGAGAGTGAATGGACGTGGAGGCAGGGGAGGATGACTGATCTGTGATATCAGTCCCTGGCTCTGGGTAATTTCTTTTTTTTTTTTTTTGAGACGGAGTTTTGCTCTTGTTACCCAGGCTGGAGTGCAATGGCGCGATCTCGGCTCACCGCAACCTCCGCCTCCTGGGCTCAGGCAATTCTCCTGCCTCAGCCTAGTGAGTAGCTGGGATTACAGGCACACGCCGCCATGCCCAGCTAATTTTTTGTATTTTTAGTAGAGATGGGGTTTCACCATGTTGACCAGGATGGTCTCGATCTCTTGACCTTGTGATCCACCCGCCTCAGCCTCCCAAAGTGCTGGGATTACAGGCTTGAGCCACCGTGCCTGGCTGGGTAATTTCTTTCTTTTTTTTTTTTTTTCCCCAAGACAGAGTCTTGCTTTGTTGCCCAGGCTGGAGTGTAGTGGCACAATCTTGGCTCACTGCAACCCCTGCCTCCTGAGTTGAAGCAATTCTCCTGCCTCAGCCTCCCGAGTAGTTGGGATTACAGGCGACCACCACCAGGTCCAGCTAATTTTTGTATTTTAAGTAGAGAGAGAGTTTCACCATATTGGCCAGGCTGGTCTTGAACTCCTGACCTTGTGATCCGCCTGCTTTGGCCGCCCAAAGTGCTGGGATTCCAGGCGTGAGCTACCATGCCTGGCCAGCTCTGAGTAATTTTGCTGCACCCCACCCTCATGCCTGTTATTATCCTGTCTGATGATGTCTCTGACAACCAGCTGCTCCTTCTGCCTCCACCCTTGTAGTGAGGTGTTCTCAGCATCTGCTCAACAGTGGAAACAGGGAGGACAGGCAGGACATGCTCCCTACGAGGTAGGGGAGCTCTTTAGAGCAATGAAGCCCTCGTCCTTTCTGTTCCCTTCAGATTTTCAGCTTGGGACCCCGGGGCTCTTCCAGGACTGACTCCAGAGGGCTCTTAGTACCCACCAAGCCACTGCCATCCTCTCCCAGGAACCATCCTTACTCCTCTCTCCCTGTCCCTCCTGTTCAGAACTCCTTAGGTGGCACCCAGCCACCTGGCCCGGGCTCCCCTGCCAACCTTCTCACCATTAGGCCCCCGCCGATGAAGCCACCCATGAGCCAGACTTGCAAGCTGAGATGGTTGGTGTTGGTCCAGGAGGTCTCCCCATTAGGCACCAGCAGGAGGGCATTGGCCACGATGCAGACCAGGGAGAGGGTGATGAGGGAGAGCCCCACGCAGCGGGCACACTTTCCCGTGCACATGGTGGGATGTTAGGAAGGGCAGGCAGTGAGTGAAAGTAAGCCGGAGGTTCCCAGCTCCTGAGGAAAACAACCCTGGAGCAAGGAGCAAAGGTCAGAAAGAGGTGTGGCAGCAACTGGCAGGATCAGAATGATAAGGGAGAGAGGCACAGGTCGTGGGCATGGAGAAGGCAGAGGCGGAGGGCTGCAGCCCTGAGATAAAGGGAGGATGTGGTGGTGGATGAGGTAGGGGGGCCGTGGACACACTACCCAGGATTCATGCCTTCCCGTTTTTCTGCACATTCCTCCACAGCGCCTCTGTTGATTCCATATCTGCTTTGCAACTTAGCCAAGCCCCTCAATATGTCTCAGTTACCTCATCTGTATAAAGTGATGCCACTTGCGGCCGAGTGCGTTGGCTCACGCCTGTAATCCCAGTACTTTGGGAGGCCGAGGTGGGTGGATCACCTGAGGTCAGGAGTTCGAGATTAGCCTGTACAACATGGAGAAACCTCGTCTCTACAAAAAATACAAAAATTAGCTGGGCGAGGTGGTGGGCACCTGTAATCCCAGCTACTTGGGAGGCTGAGGCAGGAGAATCGCTTGAACCCGGGAGGTGGAGGTTGCAGTGAGCCGAAATTGTGCCACTGCATTCCAGCCTGGGTGACGAGCGAAACTCTGTCTCAAAAAAATAAAAAATAGGCCTGGTGTGGTGGCTCACACCTGTAATTCAAGTACTTTAGGAGGCTGTGGCAGGCGGAATACAAGGTCAGGAATTCGAGACCAGCATGGTGAAACCGTGTCTCTACTAACAATATAGAAATTAGCTGGGCGTGGTGGTGAGCACCTGTAATCCCAGCTACCCGGGAGGGTGAGGCAGGAGAATGGCTTGAACCTGGGAGGCAGAGGTTGCAGTGAGCTGAGATGGTGCCCCTGCACTCTAGCCTGGGTGACAGAGCAAGACTCCATCTCAAAAATAAAATATAAAAAAATAAGAATAAAGTGATGCCACTTGCCTTGCGGGCTACTTGTGAGAATTAAGTGGGACCACCTGAGAACTATTTTGTGAACTAGGAAGCACAGAACAGATATGTGGTGGCCTCTTCATTTCTGCTAGTGCCACAGGGAGCGTTCCTCCTAGGGAGAAATTAAAGAGATGACTGTGGGCTCTCATCATCCTACCATTTCGCTTTCTCAGTATTTGATTATTGACGTCTCCTCCTCTTGAGGCCACTACCTGTCTCTCTCAGGGTGGGCTTGGGACTTAGGCCTGATTGATGAGAGCGTTCTATCCCGCTAGCCTCGGTGTTTGATTTAGCAACAGCCACGTGATCTGAGCCAGCTCTGTGAAAAATCAGCTTCTGCCTTTTTTCATCTTGCTTTGTTGCTGCCGGAGTCTTGCTTTGTTCCCCAGGCTGGTGTGTAGTGGATCAAGGCTCCTTGCAGCCTTGACCACCTGGGCTCAATTGATCATCCCACCTCAGCCTCCTGAGTAGCTAGGACTACAGGTGTGTGTTACCATGCCTGGCTAATTGTTTGATTTTTAGTAAAGACAAGGTCTCACTGTTACCCAGTGCTCCTGAGCTCAAGCGATCCTCCCACCTCAGCCTCCCAAAGTGCTGGGATTACAGGTGTGAGCCGCTGAGCCCGGCCCCTGATGACTTCACAACCAGCTGTTGTGATGAGGGAGGGCCTGCCTGTTACGGGGAGAAGTTAATCCAGAGGAAAGAACAATTGAGAGATGGAGATAGTAGGTCTCGATGATGTCATTTGAACCTGCAGATCCAGCTATGCCTGAAGCCTGATCATTCCTTAGAAAGTTTTAATATGTGGCTCCCACACTGCAGCACCACCACCTACCTGGCCCTGCCAGCTTCCCAAACCTTGGCCAACCTCAAGCACACCTTCATCGCCATCAAGTTGGATGGCGTGCAGCTTGGCCTAGTGGGCGAGATCATCAAGCTCTTCAAGCAGAAGGGGTCCCGCCTCGTGGCCATGAAGGTCCTCCGGGCCTCCGAGGAACACCTGAAGCAGCATTACATTGACCTGAAAGACCGCCCATTCTTCCCTGGGCTGGTGAAGTACATGAACTCAGGGCCGGTCGTGGCCACGGTCTGGGAGGGGCTGAATGTGGTGAAGACAGGCCGAGTGATGCTTGGGGAGACCAATCCAGCAGATTCTAAGAGAGGCACCATTCGCGGGGACTTCTGCATTCAGGTTGGCAGGAACAGCATTCATGACAGTGACTCAGTAAAAAGTGCTGAAAAAGAAATCAGCTTATGGTTTAAGCCTGAAGAACTGGTTGACTACAAGTCTTGTGCTCATGGCTGGGTCTATGAATAAGAGGGGACACAGCAGCAGTCTCCTTCAGTCTGGCTTGGTGTGTCCCTGGACACAGCCCTTCATTCCACTGACTTAGAAGCAACAGGACTGATCATTTTTTTGTAGAGCATATTTGCCAGTAACGCCTTTGGAAGCTGGAAAAAAAAAGTTTTGATATGTGAATTGGTTTGAATTTTGTCAACTGCAATGTAGAGTCTTCGTTGATTTGGAAATTTAATTCATTAGGCCCTTCCTAGGGACAGAGCCTTGTGCTGGAGGCTACAGGGATTTCTAGTTGTATGACTGAGAACCACATCCAGCTATGCCTGAAGCCTGATCATTCCTTAGAAAGTTTTGATATGTAAGCCGGGCGCAGTGCCTCATGCCTGTAATCCCAGCACTTTGGGAGGCTGAGGCAGGCGGATCAGTTGCAGTTGGGAGTTCGAGACCAGCCTGGCCAATATGGTGAAATCCCATCTCTACTAAAAATAGAAAAATTAGGTGGGTCTGGTGGTGCGCACCCGTAGTCCCAGCTACTTAGGAAGCTAAGGTGGGAGAATTGCTTGAGGTTGCAGTGAGCTGAGATTGCACTACTCTACTCCAGCCTGGACAAGAGAGTGAGACTCTGTCTCAAAAAAATAAAAAGTGAAAAAGAAAGTTTTGATATGTGAATTGGTTTGAATTGTGTAAATTGCAGTGTAGAGTCTTTGTTGATCTGGAAATTAATTCATTAAGCCCTTGCTAGGGATAGGGCCTTGTGCTGGATACTATAACGATTTCCAGTTGTGTGAACGAGAACCAGATTTGGGTCTCACAAGCAAACAGGAGAGTGAAGGCCTCCACAGAATTAACTCTAGTTCAAGTAGGATGTGGGAGTGTCATGAAGAGATGAGGGCAGCAGGAAGGGCCACAGGGCTTCAGAGGGCATGCAATGAGGCTGTCACCTGGAAAGTGATATCCAGCTGGTGGCCCCTGATGCAGCTTCTCCCAGCAGCCCATTTAGACCACTACAGAGAGGTGGAAAGTGGAGAAAACTTACCACTCAGAATGGATGGCAAGAATCTCTGCTATTTCTAAGACAGAGGAATTGGATTGAGAAAAATATATGGAGAATTTACCTCTTGAATCAGAGGATGCCTGATAAAGAAAATACTTTGAACCTCCCCCAACTACTTGTCTCTGACTCATAGATGATTATGATAACTGATATATTTGGTTTTACTTCTGTTGGCATGTTTAATGCTTTAAAAAATATTTCAATGTTGCTTCTGATGTTTTCTGTCCCTTTAAATATTTTATAGTCTCCTTTTTTTTTTTTTTTTTTTTTTTTTGAGACAGGAACTCTATCACTCAGACTAGAGTGCTGTGCTAAGATCATCATGGCTCACTGCAGCTGTGACCTCCTGGTCTCAAGCAATCTTCTCACTTCAGCCTCCTGAGTAGCCAGGACTACAGGCCCACATCACCACACTCAACTAATTAAAAATAAGTTTTGGGTTTTTTTTTTTTTTTAGATATGGAGTCTTCCTATGTTGCCCAGGCTGGTTTCGAACTCCTAGGCTCAAGCTATCCTCCCAGCTTGGCCTCCAAAAGTGTTGGGATTACAGGCTACCGCACCCAGCCCTCCTCAGTTTTGTTTGTTTTTTATTAGAGATGGGGTCTCACTATGTTGCCCAGGCTGGAGTGCAGTGGCTCTTCACAGGAGCAATCCCACTACTATCAGTATGGGAGTTGTGACCTGCTCTGTTTCTGACCTGGGCTGGTTCACCCCTCCTTAGGCAACCTGGTGGTCTCCCGCTTCCTGGAGGTCACTGTATTGACGTCAAACTTAGTGCAGACACCTGATTGGCATAGCACACTACAGCCCAGAACTCCTGGGCTCAAGTAATCCTCCCACCTCAGCCTCCCAAGTAGCTGGGACTACTGGCACGCACCACCATGCCAGGCTGTTTGTTTTTTTGAGACAGAGTCTCACTCTGTTGCCCAGGCTGGAGTGCAATGGTGCAATCTCTGCTCACTGCAACCTCTGCCTCCTGGGTTCAAGCAATTTGCCTGCCTCAGCCTCTCATGTAGCTGGGATTAGAGGCACTGGCCATGACGCCTAGGTAATTTTTGTGTTTTTAGTGGAGACAGGGTTTCACCCTGTTGGTGGGGCTGGTCTGGAACTCCTGTCCTGAAGTAATCTGCCTGCCTCAGCCTCCCAAAGGCCAAAGGGCTGGGATTACAGGCATGAGCTACTGCACCCAGCCCTCCTTAGTGTTACAAGGCTTTTTTTTTTTTTTCTTTTTCTTTTTTTTTGAGACGGAGTTTCGCTCTTGTTACCTAGGCTGGAGTGCAATGGCGCAATCTCGGCTCACCGCAACCTCCGCCTCCTGGGTTCAGGCTATTCTCCTGCCTCAGCCTCCTGAGTAGCTGGGATTACAGGCATGCGCCAACATGCCCAGCTAATTTTTTGTATTTTTAGTAGAGACGGGGTTTCACCATTTTGACCAGGATGGTCTCGATCTCTTGACCTCGTGATCCACCCGCCTCGGCTTCCCAAAGTGCTGGGATTACAGGCGTGAGCCACCGCGCCCGGCGGCTTTTTTTTTTTTAAGATGGAGTTTTGCTCTTATTTGTCCAGGCTGGAGTGCAATGGCGTGATCGCAGCTCACAATGACCTCTGCCTCCTAGGTTCAAGTGATTCTCCTGCCTCAGCCAGCTACCAAGTAGCTGGGATTACAGGCATGCTCCACCACACTCGGCTAATTTTTTTTTTTTTTTTTTTTTTTTTTTTTTGGTAATTTTTTTAAGAGACAGGATTTCTCCATGTTGGTCAGACTGGTCTCGAACTCCTGACCTCAGGTGATCTGCCCGCCTCAGCCTCCGAAAGTGCTGGGATTATAGGTGTGAGCCACTGCGCCTGGCCAAAAGGCTTGTTTTAAACCCTAGTGGTGGTTACTTTTAAGTCTTGTGAAAGTATCCTTTCACTTGTCAGTTAGCCTCTTTCTGAAACTGCCTATCATCCCTGCAGCCGCCTTTGAGGGACTCTGTACAGATGGTTTACCATGCTTGGAGCCATATGACCATGTGATCCTGTGATAAATAATGGAACTGTCTGCTCCAGTTCTTCAATTCTCCCTGAGTCCATGCCCTTTGCTATGCCATTTGTGGTGCCTCCCACTAGAGGTAGCATGTACCTCCTACCATAAGGGTGGAATGGAATGTGGGCAGCAGTGACAATATCCCAGTTCTTAGCCTAGGCCTTCAGAGGCATTGTGTGGTGCCACTTGCCATGCTATGATATTATCATTGCCATGAGAAGAATATGCCCGAGTTATCCCACTGCTAAAATGAAGGTGTAAGATGCAAGCTAAAGGCTCACATGGGATCCCACCCTGGATTACCTGATCCCCAGCCAACTCATACCTGTGTATCAGTGAAATAAATGCTTATATTTTTATGACACTAAGACTGTCTGGCCTGGTGCGGTGGCTCATGCCTATAATCCCAGCCCTTTGGGAGGCCGAGGCAGGCAGATCATGAGGTCAGGAGTTCGAGACCAGCCTAATATGGTGAAACTCCTTCTCTACTAAAAATACAAAAATTAGCTGGGTATGGTGGTGTGTGCCTGTAGTCCCAGCTACTCAGGAGGCTGAGGCAGGAGAATCGATTGAACCTGGGAGGCGTGGAGGTTGCAGTGAGTCAAGATCACGCCACTGCACTCCAGCCTGGGTGACACAGCGAGACTCCGTCTCAAAAAAAAAAAAAAAAAAAAAGACTTTATTGGGGGGGATGGTTTGTTGCCCAGTAATAGGTTCCTGAAACAGACCCCCTTATCCAGGCCACGGCTGGTTGAGTGAGGAACAAGCAGCTGACCCAAAGACAGACATGTAGCCAGAGGCCTATGAGGTCTCTTGAGGTGAGAACTCCATCCAACAGAGGTCCACTGACTAGATAATGACCAATCAACCAATTGTATCTTCATTATTGGGAAATTTGTCTGTGAGACAACCCGAGAGAGTCATCAGAGACTAGGGTGGCTTCAAACTGAGAGTTGTATGCAAGAAGGGAGTGAGCAAAAGCCAGAGGCAACTGAAACCATAAATGAGCAGAAGCCATGGCAGGAGAAGTGTGTAGAGAACAGTTATTCAAAAACAGTGCCAGAGGGAGGAGCACAAGGACTGGGAAGCAGAGACAGAAAATCCGAGTCCTCAGGAGGTGGCCAATGAGAGGTCACGCTGAGTCACCAGAACTGATGTTGAACTACTAGAGCAACTATCATATCCCAAATAGCGGCCCTTCTGACCGTGGACCTGAAGAGGGGATTCAGCCATTGTCTGGATGGGCAGAGAGCCAGGCCAAGAGCTAGCCACCTATTTGTCTACAAGTTGCTCATGCTGATTCTGAGAGATGGTGCCTCTTTTGAGGATGAACGAAGTGAAAAAAATAGTTGTGTGGGTGGGGTGGTCCACAGGCATTCATTACATTATTATTATTATATATTTTTTGAGACGGAGTTTTACTCTTGTTACCCAGGCTGGAGTGCAATGGCACGATCTCAGCTCACTGCAACCTCCGCCTCCTGGGTTCAAGCAATTCTCCTGCCTCAACCTCCTGAGTAGCTGGGATTACAGGCACACGCCACCATGCCCAGCTAATGTTTTGTATTTTTAGTAGAGACGGGGTTTCACCATGTTGACCAGGATGGTCTCGATCTCTTGACCTCGTGATCCACCTGCCTCAGCCTCCCAAAGTGCTGGGATTACAGGCTTGAGCCACTGCGCCCGGCTATTGTTATTATTATTTTGAGACAGAGTCTCCCTCTGTCACCCAGGCTGGAGTGCAGTGGTGCGATCTCAGCTCACTGCAATCTCTGCCTCCCAGGTTCAAGTGATTCTCCTGCCTCAACCTCCCGAGTAGCTGGAACTACAGGCATGTGCCCTCATGCCCAGCTAATTTTTTGTATTTTTAGTAGAGACAGGGTTTCACCATGTGAGCCAGGATGGTCTTGATCTCCTGACCTCGTGGTCCACCCGCCT